TTCATATATTCATAATAAAATAAAATTAAAATCCCACTGTGTATAATCATTTTCTTCAAAATCAGTGGAAGAGTTTGTACTGCATGTAATTAAAGCTGGCACGAATCTGTGTTGGATGCAATTTTTGATTTAAATAATCTATAAACCTTTACATGATTTAGTGTGTTTTTTAACATCTGCTTCATTTAATGTTTATTACCTTAAATTTTAACATTATTTTAAAGAAATGGGTAAAAATTAAAGTACTCGTATTAGCAGACCAAAACGGTATTTTTCATCATTCCACTTTGAGGAATGTAATCTGTTTTAAAGATTGCAGGCCATGTGTTATTGCGTAAAGAGATATAGCTTCCAATCGAAAGTAATCATGTCCAGCATAACAGCTGAAGTGGTATTTCACGAATCAATTGCTCATTGGTAAAAGATACTTGGAGCAGTGTAAAAATCTTCTCCTTCGATGCCACATTAAGATTACCATTGTTTTTCTTTTTTGTCTTGACTGGTGACCAATTGAATTTTGTCTTATGCAGCGTCACATAAAACATAAAAACTCGCAGCCTCATATTGTAGAGATTGTGAAAAAAAAATGAGTTACAATTAGCTAGATAAATGCAAGCTCTTATAGTTGCTAGTGCCAGGGACACTGTCACGGTGTTAAAACCACACGTGCAACGTTACTCACACCTATGCAGCTAATGCCTGATCTCAAATCTGGTGTTTTTCCCCTTCCTACCATTAGGCTGTCCCTCATATAAATATATTACAAAGAAAGATATAGATAGAACCCCTATGACTAATTACTAACTCCGGTTAAAAGTAATAAAACCAACAGAATACAGTACGTTAAACTGATCACGCAGCCCCGTATCTTATTGTTTATTTTGGGAATATCTTGGGGGTTACTTTTTCAACACACCTCCTTGTTTTGTGAACATTCGCTTTCCACAGCTAATAATGAGTAATACGAGCATTTTAATTACATATTAAACCATATAGATACATACTGAAAGGATAAATGATAAATAAAACAAAACAAAGCCTAAACTCCTCCAAATAAAACTCCGAAAACATTAATAGGGCGAGTCTGAAACAGATGGTACTGACTTGGACTTTAAAAGGGGTTTAAAACCATTCTTAATCGAGCAGAAAGTAGGACTTCGTTTTAAAATGAAATAATTGTATTTCGCGTGGGGGGAGGGATCGTGGACTGTAAGTTTACGAGTTTTTCAGTTAACCGAGTAAATGCCGGATAAGTGCGTCATTTTCTTGCGGGGGGTAAAGCATGACCGTAAAGCACGCACTGGCGTATGAAGGCGACACAAGGTATTTTGGGACTATGTGAGCGACAATCGAGACCATTTCTTTGAGCGGTTGTACATAAAATAACATGGCCGTTTGTTCCAGCCGATACGTTTTCTGGATCGGAAAATAAAAACCATACAATTTCCCATCAAGTCGGCATTTAAGCGAGTTCCGCGAGCGCGGATCCCCGAGCGACGCTGGGTTTTTTGTAAGTATGGACCGTGTTTTACTTCGTGCGCTTTGGGCAAAACTTGGCACTAAATCTGAATATGACTGGAGTAACCGGGCATCGCTTTTCGTGCTCTCTGCATTTTCCCATTTGTGTGGCTGATACAGTTCCTTTTGGGACGCTGAGAAAGAGACGGCAGAAGACGAAAGAGAACCTAAAGGCGCTCTCCAGCATGCGCTTTGCGAGTGCTTACAGACGGCGAGGTGTCCTTTGCATCACCACCCGGATTTTACCGTCGTGATGTTCAATAGCTCGGACGTCGATCCCACTTTAAGCCACCGAGAGCATCTTGTGGAGGTCAGCAATGGCACTATACACAATTTGCAGGGTCCCACGGCCATGTGGAATGAATCATGCGGGGAGCAACTGCTCGACTTCCGAACGGCGGAGAAAATTATCATCGGAGTGATGCTGGCCATTATAACAGCGATTACAGTGATGGGAAACACTTTAGTGGTGATCGCCGTCTGTGTTGTAAAGAAACTCAGGCAGCCTTCAAACTATCTGCTGGTGTCTCTGGCCGTGGCAGACCTGTCGGTAGCTCTCGTAGTCATGCCCTTTGTGATAGTGACAGACCTTACCGGAGGCAAGTGGCTCTTTGGGGAGGTTTTCTGTAACATCTTCATTGGAATGGATGTAATGTGCTGCACAGCCTCCATAATGACCCTTTGTGTGATCAGCGTAGACAGGTAAGTTATAACTGTGTACCGAATAATTCCACGTATATAATACATAATTATATGCAGGCCATTATTTCATTGTTCTTTTACTGTGATTTATATTCCTTAAATATCCCAAACTCTAGAGTAATCGTGGAACATAATCAGTAGTTATATATATATATATATATATATATATATATATATATATATATATATGTGTGTGTGTGTGTGTGTGTGTGTGTGTGTATGTATGTATGTATGTATGTATTTGTGTATTTATGTATATATCTTATGCTGTTTAAAATCAATAATGACTTCTAATGTGTATTTCTGTTAATATTTATTCATGCTTACACAAAGCCATTTGAATACCTAGAAAAAAAAACAATTTTAAAGACAACATTAATCGTGCTTATCAAGAACGATATATTTAAATATATCAGTAGGACTACGTCGGCAGAGATCCATCAAATCACGTTGTGTGCGCTACGGGTAAAGAGGACCCGTGGAAGACGGCAAAAATACCCGGCTGATCGAATTAATGCCTTTTTTCTGTTTATCAGTGGGTGATCTCAGTGTAAAGCCGATCTTTAATGCAGTCGGTGAAACTTTTTATACTGCCGGATTCTAATATATATATTTTCCCCAAAGTGATGTCTACGCATGCATGTGCATCATCTAGAATATTGGCATATTCTAACCAGTCTTGGTTTACAGATGAACTAGTTTCTACACCTGTTGATAAAGGTGTAGCACAAACAGTGAAACAACTATTCAGTCAATATTGTCATTAGTAACTGAAAGTAATGTTATCTATCCAAGATACTTCTGTAATTTCTAAGAATAGAAATCACCTGTCACCTCTTCGATGTTTTATTATCTGGCTATAAAACTACTTGACGTTAAAATAGCAATTTATTCTGGTTTTAATGAACAGTGCAGTTAGATCAGAGATCAGTTATTTTACAAAAAGACAGGAGCTGTTGCATTATTCGTCCATGTAGACTTTATATATGATTATGGGGCAAAACAAAAAGAATAATTTTCTTGCTTTTTATTATCTTTTTATTATCTCAGATCCCAGCTCCCTTAGCAACCAAGGGTGATATTTAAAGTCTGCATTTGCCTTCTGGAAGAAATGTAATATAAATATTAACCAGCTTCACATGTAACTAAAAGGTCGCATATCCTCTTATGGTTTATAGGGAAATGGACGTCATGTCATGTGATACCAGACACCCCAGAGATGCGTGGGAAACAGACCCAGTGGTATTAATAATGCAGTTTTGTATAGATACAGATTATGTGCAGAATGTGATCTTAAAGAATTGTTTGCCGTATTTAATCTGCAAAACAGCTGTACATTACTGTACTTTAATGCAGAGATAGTAGGAAACATTCATCTCAACCAGTAGATTTAATTTGTAGGCCACATGTTGTTTGGTGTCCATAATGCAGTGTTTGTCATTAGACATTTTTGAATGAGATGCATATTTATCTTCTGCAGAATATTTGAGATAAAGTGGGTATGATGTTGTTGTTGTTGCTTCCCTGCTTATCTGACTATTGGCTGCACTTTTACTCAGATCCAGTATCCGTGAAATGTATAAATTCACGAGTGGGAAACCCATCAGCAGTTAAATAAGAAAAGCAAGCTTGTTATTTGAATTAATTTTTTTTTAACAAAGTATTGTCCCTGAAGTCATTATCTGTGTACAATAAAGTAAGAATAGTTTATTACCGATATTTATTACCAGCATGGAAATACATGGGCAATATAAAATGAACAAGAAATAATTTAACTGTATCTTCCATATTGATAATTTTACCTGTGGCCATTTTATTGTGATGTATTGTGGGAAAAAGGCAAAGAGACATTACTCATCCTCTAAGTCGGAGTTAAATATGCAAAGATCAGTTGGAAATGGCTTATACAGTACAAAAAAAATTGAGAAGTCTATTCATATAACCAGATTTTTATTCATGTTGCAGTGCAAGTACAGTACATCATTTGTATATATAATGCTGTTTTTATGATTTGTATTGCTGGGGGGTAGAGTGTATGTGCTGTTAGGGTGTATGTGCTGCTAGGGTGTATGTGCTGCTAGGGTGTATGTGCTGATAGGGTGTATGTGCTGTTAGGGTGTAAGTGCTTAGGATTTTCTATATAGCCTGAATTCAGTCACACCTTCAGGTAACTTCAGGTGGTATTTCACTTAAGCATTATTTTCATTGATTAAATGTGTTGCATGTCCCTGGCGATAGGCTGGCATGTCACCCAGGGTCTTCACTGTACTGTGCCCTGGGCTACCAGGGATAGGATCCAGGCCCTCTTGTAACTCTGCACTGGATACATGGTTGGAAGATGGATCTGTTGATGGATGAAAATCTTATTTACATGTGGAATTTACAATTCTAAGATGCAGAAGGGTAATATGTGCTGATTTATTTTGATCTAAATGAGGGGGTGGGGGGAGGAGAACTCAGTAGATTTTTCCAACCAAGGGATTTAAATTTTCAAGGGGGGTTCAAACTTAAAATTTTACTGGCTACATGCCATATCAGTAACAAAAACATTTTGGGGTGGGGGAGGGGGGTTAATGCACATTGCTTTACTATGTGGCTGTTTGCTTACTGCATGTCCAAAACGTATTACTTACGTTGCAATATTAACTGATGAATGAAAAAATTAAATTATAGATTTAGGCTAATATTCATTTTTACAAAGTACGTTAAAAGCATGCATTTAGCTAGGACGTAAGAGAACAGTTCAATTTCTGTCCACCTGAGCCAACGATCTGCTTGCCTTTCCAGGTCGTGCATTCAGTCCCACCTGGCTGCATTAAATCCCTGGAAAGCAGACATATGCTGAAAGAAAAGGTCCCATTGTCGCAAGGATTTTAAAGGTTCCATAATCAGGAACTATGGCTAAATTCTCTAGTTCTCTAGAGTGTAGAGATCAGCTGGTTTCAAATGCTCATTTTCATTAATGTTTAATAAAAAAAAATTCTTGCGTGTTTGAAATTTTGAAATTAAAATTTTTTGTTTTATGCAGATGCAAACATGTTAATGATAAGTAAAGAGAAAATGGTGTTTAGCCAGAGAAAATCATCCACATTTTCCAAGCAGAAGTATGCCTTTTACAAAAAATTTTTTTACAATTTTTTATCCAATAAGTACATAAACTATTGCACTGTGTTATTAGCAAAACGACTAAGCAGAAAATGCCTTATAAAAGACACAAAACAAAAATTGCAATTTATCTTCAAAACCATGCCAAGGTAAAATATAGCATGAGTTGACTGCCTCTTGGGGTCCCCGAGTCAAATCTACGAATAGACACCATCTTTATGCTAAGAGGATATTTGGAAGTCTCTGTGGATTTAATGTGAGCAGCAGGCAAATGTAAGATAAACAGCACTGGAAGCGAGTGCTATAATCAGATGAAAATGGAGCTCTTTGGCCATGCACACCGGAATTAGGTTTGGCATAGGAAGAATGATTTCCATGTAAAAAAAAAAAATTATCCATTATAAATGGCGGTAGATTGTCAGTCTTATAGGACTGGCCACGGGCTGTTCTTAAAGTCATCTTGATGTTAAACTAATTGAGACTAATTCTGCCAAGTACTAAGACATTAACAGAATCTCCTTACCTTAGGAACATCCTCAGGTTGTTCCAGCAAAACAGAGTAAGAGCAACAAACGATTACTTAACCAATAGAAAGCAAAAAACAACATTCTGCAAAACACATCTCAGTGTCTAGGCTAATTGAACAGTGAACTTTGAGCATTGTCCGTTAGAGTAGGATCGGTAGAAACTCTAGGAGTGGTGCAGACCTCTCACAGTATATTCTTTAATGTTGTAAAACATTACGTATCCTTGCAATTAGATGATGTGGCAAGTATGGAAAACAGAGTCTGTGATAATTGTGACACTGGTCTTTTATTTGTGAATTTCACAGATGTTTAATTTCATGTTGATTTGATTGAGTCATTGAATTTGTTCCATGTTAGAAAATTACAGTAAAAGCTTAGGACTGGTATTATTACTTTTTTTACTCATTTTAATCAGGTGTCATACTCAGATGGAGGTTAAGGTCCGCAGTTATGTACCCTTATATTACTGCACAGGTATGTACCCCCTATGTACCCTACCCTTAGATTTGCTGAAGAATTTCCAGTCTGTATTTTTGCATTGCATAACTAAATAATCATTAATTAATAAGTATTTTAAATAAAAACACATACTACCTGAAGCACTTTTTTTTATAAACAACAAACCAAAACTTTAGCTAAGTTGAAATTCAGATAGCTAAAAAAAACATGTAATTGGCAAACAAGTTCAAAAGGCTACAGGAGAGGCTATAGTAATATTACAGGTCAAGAAACCAAGTGGAGGTTTGCATGTGCATTTGAATTTAGTCAAAATTTACTTGACATTGAGTTGTAAATTCAAACAGAATCTCTACAGAACCAATACGAAAATCTTCTTTACATTGGAACTAAGAAATGGGGATGCATTATGTAAACTAGAGTGTGAAATTCTGTTGATATAATTAATTTACAGTAATTTACTATGCAACATTATGGACAAAAAATTGCACATTGTAGCCAACTACCAAGTATGACCAGGGTAGAAAATATTAAGAAAAGTGTAAAACAAGAGGAAAAAAAACATTCTTACTATAAATAAGATGTTAACATTCCAGGATATTCAACTAATTATATGGGACTATAAATGCATAAAAAATATGTTACGTAGTTCAAAGAATACATATTTTTGGATTGGGAATGAGTCCGGCACTGGTTCCGGCACTGTGTTGGTGGAAATGAGGCATAAGAGAACCACTGTTTCCAAGGTTACTAAGAGAAGAGTAACACACTTACTGCTGGAGTGTATTTAACAGATTCATTGATGGAAACACAGAGAAGCCTCTTGTCACCTTCTTTGGTTGTTCCAGCATGTACCCAACACTCCTTGGCCCTTTTACCCGGAGAGACTTGGCAGGGAGGGCTCAGCACTGTGGGAGACAAGGTGTAGTGACTGTGGGTGCTGTCACACCTTGCTGCTAACCATGAACTTTAGGGTCACCCAGTGGGGACATCCAGTGGCAGTTTATTTGGGCTGGATGCTTTAACTTTGCCTCTTTGGGAGATTTCGCCAAAGGTGGGGGAGTGGCGGGGAGTGTCTAATTGGCAGCAACATTCTCTCAGTTGGGGGGTGCTCAAACCTGTAGGTTAACTATGTGGTTACGTGCCTGATGTATAGAAGCACCTGCCATAATAAGCTACAGTATATGGGCAAAAGTATTGGGACACGCCTCTCAGTCACTGCATTCAGGTGTCTCATTCAGACCCATTGCCACAGGTGTATAAAATCAAGCACCTAACCATGGTGTCTGGTTTACAAACATTTGTGAAAGAATGGGTCATTCAGAAGAGCTCAGTGAATTAAGCATGGTGCTGTCATAGGATGCCACCTTTGCAGTAAGTCAGTTTGTGAAATGTCTTCCCTGTTAGATATTCCACTGTCAGCTATAAGTAGTAGGAGTGGAGGCCTTTAGGAACAACAGATCCTCAGCCATGTAAATTAACAGAGCGGGGTTGCTCAGTGTGTTAAAGTCCCTAACGCTCTTTTGGTTTAAAAACTGCAGTATTCCGTGACGAATCACGCTTCTCTGTCTGGCAATCTGATGGATGTGTCGGGATTTGGTGAATACCAGTAGAAGGTTACCTGCCTGACTGCATTGTGCCAGTTATAAAGTTTGGTGGTCGAGGGATAATGGTATGGGGCTGTTTGTCAGGGGTTGGGCTGTGTCCCTTAATTCCAGTGAAGGGAATTTTAAATGCTTCAGCATACTGAGACATTTTGGAGAATTCTATGCTTCCACCTTTGTGGGAACAGTTCGGGGAAGGCCCTTTTCTGTTTCAGCATGACTGTGCCCCAGTGTACAAAGTTCCATAAAGATATGGCTGGGTGAATGTGGTGTGGAAAAACTTGACTGGCCCATACAGAGCCCTGACCTCAACCCCATCTGACACCTCTGGGATGAATTAGAATGGAGTTTGCAAGCCAGGCCTTCATGTCCAACATCAGTGCCTGACCTCACAACCTCTTCTGTATGAATGGGCAAACCTTCCCAGAAGAGTGGCAGCTGCTACAGCTGCAAAGGGAAGACCAGCTCCATATTGATGCCTATGGATTTAGAATGGGATGTTACGGAAGTTTCTGTAGGTGTGATGGCCAGGTGTCCCATATGGTGTATGTATGATAATAAAATACTAAAGTAATTCTAATGTCTAACTCATGCAGAAACAGTACAAACAACTTGCTTGCTAATTATAGATCAATGTCTAATTTAAAAGTAAAATTTATTGCAAAGCAGAATTTGATAAAGCAGGCAAAAAAACCTGTAGAAAATGGCATTCCTCAAACCTTTACATTGTAAATAAATTAATAGAAGCAACATAAAAATACACTCATCTCTGGATCTAAAATGAAATAATGGCTGTGCTGGTAAAGCATGAAATGTGAACTTTACTTCTAAATTGTAAATTGAACTGTATATAATCTGCAGTCTTTCTACAACTGGTAGCTTTGAGATCTTGAGAAAATGATTAATTTATTGTGAGAAAACTCATTGCCTTTTTAAGCTTTGCTAGTTTACAGATTTTACAGACATTTTAAAAGAAAAGAAAAAAAAACATTTTTGGGGGGGGTGTTGTGGGGGTGTTATGGTCATTGGAGGAGGGGCTGGAGCACCTCTAAGCTGGTGCTGTCACAGAGGATATCAAATACAAATACTATCTGACTTAAAGTGGAAAGATGCAGCTTGACTTTAGAGTTGTTTATTTAGGACACTTTTGTCCAAAACGATCAGAGAGCAGATTCAGACGTCGTCCCGGGAGCTGTTAAGGGCCTTGTGCAAGAGCCCGATGGTGGAAGCATTCTACCAGCCATGGGATTTAAACTGGTGACCTTCTGATCCTAAGCCACAGAACCACACGCACCCCATTCTTTTGAGGCAATTTGTGTTCTCATAAATTCTGTCATTTGAGCTCAGTCGAACCAATCATCATTAAACCATTATTATTTACCAGCTGATGAAACAAATTTACACTGTGTTTCTCTGGTGCACTTAATTTAAATCAGTACTTTTCCCTTGTGTAGTATGTATTTCTTTAAGTTGTAGTCTAAGGCTAGTTCTGAAGGAACTTTTAAAGGATCATTCCAGAGATACCAGCATATGAATTACAATTCAGAGAAAGACTATTGTTGAATTCCTGTATGAAAGAATGATATAGGTCTCATTGATGTTAAATTACTTCCATCCACATTATAGTACTAGTGCTTAAGGAGCCCAGGTCTTGATTTTATACCCTATGACAGAAAACTCCCATCAATATCATTGATATGTACAATATGGATCAGAGCTCAGAAGATTGCCTTCTGTGGATCTCTCCACCTAGATCTTCCATCACACCTGTGGTCCACTGTATCAGCCATCCACAGCTATACTGGGGAAAACAGGAGTTGAACCAAAATAGAGGGGACTATTATGGCATCACATGAGAGCAAATGTGAGACCATAAGCTGATCCAGCAGTACAGAGAGATGCAACTGGCTGAAAGTCTTCCAGATCTGCTGCCTTTGCGGGTTTCATAAGAGGAGAACGTAGGGGTTCAATCTGCAGCCTTAAGCAGAAAATCAGCCCAAGTCTTAAATCATTTGCTGAATTTCTACACTTTATTAGGGGGGGGGGGCTATAGAAGGTTGAATATACAGTATTCACATAAAAAGTATTGCAAACATAGAATTGTCACATGGTACAGAACATGCATGATTTATTTGTGTTTAAAGCATTATCAAATCATTTATGACTTATCTAATACCTCAGGGCTTTTCATTGGAGGGTATTTCCCTCAAATGAAAAAAAAAGACTTTAGAAACTGAACCAAGGACATATCTAGCCAAAACATCACAGCAAGAGAAGTCCTTGCTGGCTTTGATGCTAAGGATTTGTGTGTTACAACACATTGTTTGGTATAGACTGTATAATCACTTAATTCTCCCACGGCTAAATGGGATAATAAACTCAGAGTGTATGTTTTCCTCATAGGGAATAATTTGTACAGTAGGCTCTGAGGTATTGTTGCAAGATGTAAAATATGAGTTTAACCTGAAGGACTGCTTCTGTATCTTTTTTATCCCACTTCTTCCATAAAACCTAAGCTGTAAAAATACTGAGTTGTGTGTCTAAGGACATATTTAGTTTAATTCAGTCTGTTGATGGAATTGTCAGTGGACCAGTCTGTTGCTAAAGCCAAGCAATTTCATAGGGAGTTTTCGCTGAAGGCATCAGCTATCAAACACAAAAAACACATTTGGAGCCGGATTTTTTCCCCTCGACCATTTTTGATGCGATTCAGCACTAGAAAAATAGCTATCTGGCTGATTAATATTCAAATAATGCATTCTGTGGAATTGCACTTCTATGATTTGGACATAAAATGCTCCATTTTATATGGATCACCTCATGTGACCTTGAGCACTCCCGGTTTCCTGAAGGGCTTGGTGGATGTGATTATTTAAAAACTGAAACGAGGGTGCTCTGATTGCCAAAACGTGGACGTGGGCTAAAACGGGATGCAGCGTGCTCTACTTTAGATGCGTGGCAAACACAGGAACAGAAGGTCCCTTATTTACAGGATATACACGTTCACTCAGTATTTATTTTAGTTCAAAAAAACTATTTTTGTTCCATGCGCCAAAACAAAAAACAATTACTTGAACAAAAACAGCCTAATTGTTAGAAATTGGCACACCAGGAAATTGTAGCGCATGTTAGGTGGCTGTAGTAGACATACTAAACACATACTCTTTAGTTGTTCATACTGTGTCACTGACTGCATACAAACAATATCAGAAATCGGCAGGGATGGGAACAAGTCACTCCTTGGCGAGTCCAAAAAAGTGTTGAGTCAAAAATTTGAAGTCCGAGTCAAGTCTCAAGTCATTTGCCCTCAAGTCCAAGTCGAGTCCAAGTCTTTCCATCATTTTTGGTGTCGAGTCGTATGTCATCAAATTTGTCACTCAAGTCCAAGTCGAGTTGTTAGTCATGTAATTTGAATCCTTACCCATGTCAGTTGTTTTTACCTTTAGTGATTAAAACTTGCTGCAGCCAAAACCCATTACAGTTCATTGTTAGTTAAGTTTTTCATAAGCAGAAATAGATTGAAAAGAGAGTCTCCACTCTGTCACTGGTGATATGACAAAAAACTGTATCCACTGGGATATCAGTACAGTCTTATCACATTTCAAGTAACACTGGAGATATAGCAAAGTAGTGAAGTTTGAATCTGATTTTTGTAACGCACAGATAAGATCTTTTAAGCAGTTCAGCATTAATGCAAAGATCAGTTTTAAATGACACGAACACAGCTTACAATACATCGGGGTTGGCTGATATTTCTTAATAATCAAGATAATTGGTCTGATGTAACTTGGCAGATAGTGCTGGCCTAATGGTTAGGGAAGTGCACTTTGAATCAAAAGATTGCTGGATCAAATCCCCAACCAGCAAAGTACCACTGAGGTACCCTGAGCAAGGTACTGCCCCCAACTACTGCTCCCTGGGTGCTGAATTAGCTGCCCCCTGCTATGTCACGATGTCACATATGGGTTAAAGGCAGAGGACACATTTTGTCGTTGTGCACTGTGTGCTGTGGTGCGTCAACAATGACAACTAATTACTTTCACGTAACTTAAACTTTAGCAATATTCAAAGTTAGCAGGTGGGGCTGGGGTTTTAAAAAAAACGATTTCTTGATTCCAAACAATTCCAATAACAATTCATAAAATCCTAAGATCGATTTTTTTCTTTATACCTTTTTGCAGTGTATAGCCTTTTCCTGTGAAGCTTTAACCCTGTTAGTCTCACACGGCCAGTCTCACACAATGACATCTGGCAGACAAAAACAGTCATAAAAAACATGGCAGGAGTCTTTCCACTGAAGGTAG